GAAATAAGAAAGCAACATTCTTGTCCAACTACAATTGCAGCCTTTGAATCTGTAGCAATTTGTGCATTATTTACATTTATTCCAAAATGAGGTTAGCAGCGATCACTTTCTGAAGGGAAGTCGTAGTATCTTCAGCACAAGACTACCAGTAGAAAGCCTTTCCGGTTGACGAACACATCCCAAGCCACGCGTTTGGGGCGTCAGCGAGAATTACAGTATACGAGACCTCCCTCTAGGTTCTGTAATTCATATCATTTTAATGTCAGGTTTTTGTGCAGGTAATTACGAGGGTGTTCACTAGTATACAACGAACTCAATGTTCTAGATAGTACATCCCTGTCACTTTCGGTTTGAGCGTAAGTTATCCCAAATTTCTAAATTTATAAAACCTTCTAATTCTTTACATTTATGGATTCTACAGGTACTTAAACTTGATCCACTAGTTTCAGTAACTGAGGTTATCCGAAAAAAAAAGAATAACTTTGTTTTTCGATGTAGGTGGCCATGAATGGACCAAAATCACCCTTCATTGACACAACATAGCAAGAATTTTAAACAGTTTTGAAGTGTCAAAAATTGCGTTTATACTGTTAAGTAAATTTTTTCAAATAAGATCCATAAATATGAGTATAAATAGTGGGAAAGCAGCCTTCGCTAAACGGTGTTACGCAATGCTAGATGGGCGGTGGCATTTTGGCAAAGCGCGTGGTGCAATCGCAAACCAATCAGTTGGGTGGACTCCGAAGATAGAAATTAAGCATCCATTGAGCCACTGTTAAGCTACGAACAAAGATCTTCGCAGCATTTCTGAGGAAGAAACAAGAAAATTGAACATCTCCACAACGAGAATTCTATAATCGGTCCGTGCAGAGCCTAACTGGAGAGTTAATTTTAATTCCAAATCGAAAAAAATGATTTCGGAAAAAATTCTATAGTCGGTCCGTGCAGAGGTTGTAGTATTGTCGCTGTCTATTCTTTGTTGTTTCATGTTTGAGCGTCGTAGTGCATTTGTATAATTACAAACTATTGAAGAGGATTTAATGCTCAAGCGCTATTTACTGTTGTATATTTATGTAAAGGCGATTTAACCACTCACTTGCGATTTACATCACGTTGGTGTTGGTGGTCACCGAGTGCAATTAGAATTTCGACTCGCATATGAAAATTTAACATATTAATGTATTGCAATTCGCTTTATTTTTATTGTACATGGTGTTTATAAAAATACAATGCATCCTGACGGTGATTCATTATACTCTTACACTGAATTTAAGTGCTTTAACGGGCACTAATTACTTTTTATTCTACCACTTATGGGAGTGTTTATTTGCTAATATGCAGCTAGCAGAACATGCTGTAATTCTAAACATAAATGAGTCATAAATTTTTATTTAATTTCTCAATTAGCACGTCCCCTTCTGCTCTGCGAATATTGGTTTGATGGCCACATGCATATCGTAAAGTGTGAAGAGATTTATAGCATTAAATGCAAAAATCAAAGTAAATGCGACTGCAGGTAACCATGGTGGCGTGTTTAATGGGTACGTAAATAAGGCTAATAACGTTTAAAGCACTAACGTAAACAATAGTCCCTTAGTAGGTATAGGAGGAAAATATAATACTGGCACGTTTAAATGATTTGTCCTTCACTGGATACGGTAATAATTTTTTTACCAACTGTAATTCGTCTATCCAACTGCTGAAGTATTATATCGCCTTGCTTTATACAATATACTAGTGTCCTCAGCATGAACATTAACTGACACGTTCAAATTAATTTCTTCTTACAACTTGATTGTCTGGTGCAGGAAAGCAAATGTCAACTTTCACTGCGGCAAAGTTCGGACGAAATTACGTGATGAATACTTCCCAACCGAATCTCTTCTAGACTTCCCCGGATTAACTACCCGCGGTTAATCTCTCAGAGAACAAATCTACTTTTTTAGTAACCATACTCCTTACTCTGGTGATGAATGCAAAATGTTACTATGGACGTAGTCGGTAGTTGTATAGGTGACTGAAACGCAAATAAGTGCCAAAATCTCCCGGAATAACCCCTACTAAATTTCTTACTGATTAATGAACGCCTTTTTCAAGATGGCTTTTAGTAATACGAACAAAATGTACCTACCCAATTTTTTGTTAAGAGTACATATATGTGGTGTCCTCCGAAATGGACGAGGTTTATGCTGTACTTTGTAAATACCCTTACTTAAAATAATAATAATAATAATAATGTTTATTTACGCCTAGGGCAATTTACAATATAATATACTATAATAATAAATAATCGTAGCTAACAACTACGTGTACCTAAGTAGATGACACGAAATAATTAAATTTAAATATTGATATGATAACACGCAACGTCATTCTGTTAAAAGTATTATAGTATTGCGTTTGAAAATCGGGAGAGATACACTAAATAAATCGATTTTATCATTAAAATTGTTCAATAACTCCAATAATCGATTTCGAGGACTGTTACGAAGGTAAAGAGTTCGATTAGGTCTCATGTAAAGAAGCCTCGAAGATCGAACGAATCTTTGTGGAACATTAAAGTAAATGTCAGACAAGATAGTATGACAGTTTATGTGGCCGTTTAATAACTTAAAGCCGAACTGCAGGGTAAGTAGTGTCCTTCGATTTTCTAACCGCATGATATTGAGATATAGTTTTACGTCATTGGTTCTTTCAAACACGATTCCTGCCAAAGAGAGCTTATATTTTAACAATCGAAGAAAATAGGATTGCACTCTTTCCAATCTATCGATATGTGTGGTAAGATAGGGAGACCATATTATACAGCAATAATCAAGATTCGATCGAACTAATGAGTAGTATAGGGTGCGTAATGTGCATGGATTAGAAAAACTTTTGCATTGCCTGTTGATAAACCCAATCATTTTGGTAGTTTTAGATACAATGTGATCATAATGCAATCGAAATGTAAGCTTGGAATCCAAGATCACACCTAAATCACGAACAGAATCCACGCAATCAATCAGCTGACCGTACAGATAGTAACTTTGCAAAGGTGGAGAGTTCCTTCTGGAAAAACAGATCACGTGACACTTTTCAACATTTAATTTCATGTCATTTTCAACCACCCACTTTTCAAGTCGCACTAAATCAGATTGTAGCAAACTCATGTCTCGAAGGTCTGCAATAGGTCTATATATCTTCAGATCGTCCGCAAATAAGACATGTTTAGACACAAACACCGATGATATATCGTTTATAAAAATCAAAAATAGTACTGGACCAAGATGGGATCCTTGAGGAACACCCGAACTCACTTCAATTGGATTGGACCACTTATCACTTATCTTCACCTGTGCTTTCCGATTGCATAAGTAGTTCTGGAGCAGAATCAAAGCAGTTCCGCTAACACCATATTTTTTTAGCTTAAATATTAATAAGTCGTGGTTAACTTTATCGAAGGCCTTAGCGAAGTCCGTGTAAACCGCGTGAACATCAAGTCCACGGTCCAGTGAGACGAAAATGTCATTGGTGTAGCCGAACAAGTTGGTTTCAGCTGATCTGCCTTTGCTAAATCCGTGTTGGTATTGAGTAATTATAGTCGAAAAAGCATCCGTTAATTGAGGAGCAAGAATCGCCTCCAATAATTTCGGAATAGCAGAGAGAATTGCTATAGGTCTATAATTAGAGATTTCATTCTTAGCACCACTTTTATGTATTGGAACTATCCGAGAATTTTTCCACACTGAAGGAACACATCCACTTTTTAAAATAGACGAGAACAACAGAAACATGGGTAAATAGATAGATTCGGCACAACATTTTAAAAATCTAGGAGCTATTCCGTCAGGGCCGACACTCCCGTTCTCTTTGGTACGTATGAGATGGTTGAAAATCTGTTCAGCAGAAATTGTGAAACAATTCAGTGTTACCTCAGTTGTGGAAGAGAAGGAGTTTTCCTTGAGTGTTCCGTCCGTAAAAGCAGAGGCAAAATGATCAGCAAAACCGTTGGCAATGGCTTCGTTGTCAGTAATGAGAGTCTCACCTATACACATGGTAGATGGCAGTTGTGATGTTTTGTTGATGTTGTGGTAGAACCTCCAGAAGTTTCGTGGATTTGAAGTGATGTTATCTTCGCACGATTTCACGAAACGATCGTGACACTCGGAGATCATAGCTTTACACTGCTCACGGAGATTCGAAAAAATGGTGTATAATCACTCATGGATTTAGTTTCTTTGAAACGTTTGTGTGCTAACTTTTTAGATTTAATCATCATCTGAAGTCTACTGCTGAACCAAGGAGGGTATGTAGAATCATAACACTTAATTTTTGGAACGGATGCTTCGATTATATTATATATCACAGAATAGAATCTATCAACACATCACTCAATATCACAGTTAGAAAAAAGGGTGTGCCAGTTTACAGTCCTGATCTGATCATTTATCAAATCGTAAGGTGCATTTGAAAAATTATATTTATAAAATGGGAAAGATAAACTTGTAGTAGCGTACCTTTTAGTCAGATTTTGTTGCAACAAAATCCGACTGAGATAAAATTACCACGTACTCTGAGGCTGAGAATTTCCTAAAGCTACTAGGAGGACAACGCGCTATAAAAATCAAATGACGCAGAAAAGACTCATAATTCTACCAATTACTTACGGCCCTGTACAATTACACCAGCCACACAATTTCTTGGAAAATTCTTTTACGCTTTGTAGACTTTCTATGATATGTAATGTTCGGCAATTAAACAAAATAATTCCAGATCTATTATCTATCTTTAAAATTCGAAAAAATAAATCTAAATTTAGAGCTACCGTTACACTATGCCAAGTACCTTGTTTTCGTCAAAATTTTACTTAGGTAAATAACGGAGGGTCAAGTGTCGAAACTGCCACGTATCATGCAGCGTCATGAAGCAATAAATACTAATAGAATAAAACATTTCTAAAATGACTAAATCGAATAGAAAATCTTTTGGATGATTATAACCTCTTAAAGTATACTCACTCAAAAATCAGCTGAAGGTGTTTAACGCATTTCTTCATCTCCTTTTCCATTACTTCATTGACCAACTCCGGATTTCGTGAGTACTTTTTATTCACCGTCTCTAACGACCTGACCGATCTCGCTCTTATGGTTTTAAACGCTCCCCGCAAAATTGTTAGCTGCATTCCAATGTTGCTTACGAGGGCGGTGAAGAGAGTATCCATTCCTGAAAAGCAGTTTTATCTCTGAAGCATCCAAGATCGAGTGTCCTACCTGAAATTAACCAACATTGATGTAGGGGCGAGACACAGTTGTAAACGACACCCCAAAAGAACCGGCTTCGAGATAAAGAGGAGTCAAACGGCATCCACGACCAGTAAGGTAATCGCTGGGTGTATCTATACGTTGTAACATTATTAGCATCCAGCGTGATTTCCTCATAACGCTCATAATCGGCGAGCATAATCGCTGTCGTTCCTAAAAATCCCGTTATCACCACACAACTGGCCAAACCGAAAAATCCAATAGTCGTAATATTCTTAGTCTTCTTCTCCTCTAGAAGGGTTTTTAAAGGCTGAAAGTCATCAATATCGTCATACTGTAGAGCTTCCGCTTCAAGCTCCTCAATCATTCGAAGAATAATCTTCCTCCTCTTCAGCCAGACTAATACCTTAATACCGCCAAGTAGATGCGTGAAGGCCACGCTCGCGTTTTTAATCACATCGGACAATCTATGTCTCGATCGTCCAAACGACAGGAACTCGGACGGCAAAAAGATTCCCAGCGAAAAACCATTTAATGCCACGAAATAAAACCAGTAGAAACAGCGCTCTGCGAAACCTTCGCCTTGGTCGGGCACCCATAATCCGGCCAGTTTCAGAATTAAAATGTTGACCCCGAAAAAGGTTTTGTTTACTTCGCTCCAATGTGGCACGCATTTCTTCAAAGTATGGTGAACTCGAGCTACGAATTTACTAAATTAATTAGGTTTGAAAATTTCCTATTGCCCCTATTGCTTACAGATTTTTGCAGTCTAAATAAATGTAATGACTTAGGTAGTTCAAATATCATAAAGTAAGACAACCATATGCGTTAAATGAATGTTATGCTCGATATAAACTGAAGTAACAGAGATGTTTTTGTATATATCGTAAGTTTCCAGCATAGCGGTTTTTTAGATCTACAATGTAAGATGTATTGAGTTTTTTGAGGTAGGTACTCAATCCCTACCCAGTTTTGTAAATCACGGATTCTACTTTCCTTAACATCGAACGCTTTACTGGTTTCCCAATGAGGTCGGATAGGATTTACCTGGCATACGTCCCTTAAAAGGACTCTTCAGAGCGATGCAAATAACCCTTTTTAGAAGCCAGTTGAAAAATTTCGGGTATCAAGGAGGACTGTGCCAATCGTGTGCAAGTCAGGTCTATCGACCTAAAGTATATACCATCAATAAATCAGCAGTAACGGAAGTTCGCAGGCTGCGTGCTACAGGAATTATCGTTAGGACGAGCAAGGTAAGTTAGATGGGCTAACGAATCAAAACTAAATAGAAAAAGTTTGTTGGTGGAATATAAAATCAAGCTTTTATAGAGACAAGAAGAAGTACAAGCAAGTGGGGAATTAAAAAAGTATTTAATTTCAAATCATGGGGATGACATCTAACGGAGGAATTTTGCAACACTTATTAGAGGGTGTTAAAATTTCTACGTTACCAATTTTGGTTTTTCTTACAACTGTAATTGGCAAACGCACCTCCGTGCGTTATGAGAGCATAAGTAGGAAATCATAAGAGCTATGGAGAAGACGCCGCTGCTAAGGGACATAGCAATAACGTGCGCGTATCTTACAACATCCGAATACAAATCCATCTAGGTATAAACTTAGGCAGGTCGATGCTGCCCCATCAATATACTCGTTCTAGTTTTTCCTGGTTGTTGGTCACGGTACTGTCTGGGAAATATCTTCTTTTGTGCCTGTTTTTACCACGGCCTCAACACCGGAATCCTAGTTCTTTTGTCCATTTCTGCTTTGTTATCCTTTTCAACATCATATACTTCTATTATATTTTCATTTTCTCTTCCAATTTATTATGTCGTGTAGGTCCCAGAGTTCGTGTTTTCACGTCTGGAATACCATTGATGAACGTTTTGTACCAGGTGGCCACTTTTTAGTTTCAAAAATTTAGTTTTGAATTTGCGTTTTGTTCAAGATATGAAATTTTCACATAAACCGCTTCATAGCGCACGTGAACGAAAATATGTCTGGAAATGAAAGTGATAATAAGGTGTGCATTTTTGTACAAAACGCTAGTGAGACTGGATGGTAAGTGGGTTTTAGGCAGATGAAGTTAGACTATCAAACAGTTACCACGTATTATGTGTGGGTATAATTGCGATTTTTCGTACCATATTAGGGGCGCTACTTCGTTTCTGAAAGTTTATCAAGTAACGATAAAGTGTAACCAGCATTTAGAGTGAAAAAATTCTAAACAAGAACCTTGCTCCTACTTTGGAATATTTCGTTAATAGCTCGGTTATTTTTCCGAAAAGACTTTAGGATCATCTTTAACGGAAAAGTTGAGTGAAAAAGTATAAGAAGCGGTAATTGAATTCAGATTGGTGATAAAGTGGAGTTACTTTCAAGTTCAATTTTATGTTAACGCGGAAGTTAGCCTACTTGCGAAGGGGAAGGTCATGGAAGCATTATTATTATTATTAGTGTTACTTTAATTTGTATAATGTTCAAATTTTCTTATTTCGAAATAAATACAACTGTCCTGAAAATTTCATCAAAGTTGATCAAAGTACACTGGGTGTTCACATACTTATGGAGGGCAGTATAGTTTTCGACTCTTGCAAAGAAAAAGAAAGCGATGCGAGATATTCGGCAAAAAGTGCTTGTTTAGGCATCATTTAGCTACTTTTTCATGAAAAAAAAATCGAACCAACGCATTTAATTTTTTTGAACCATTTCTGTCGGAATGTCGAAAAAAGCCCTCAAGCGGTGATATGTGAAACTAACAAAACTTCAAATATTATAATATTTGTAGCTGAAGAATAGCTCTTTTGAACTAACCCGACTTTGTTTAAATCGGCTCAGCCATTTCGAAGATACAGGGGGTTCTTTACGGAAACCTTTGAATACCCCCCACCACTTCAGTTTTAAAGATACAGCAAAAATTGTCAACCAAAAAAGGTTCAGATTATCGTCGACTTCAAAGACCGAACATTTTTTTGTTAGGTTAATATAGCGGAATTCACAGAAACATCACTTTTTTAGATTCCAGATTGTAGTTACGCCCCCTAGCGGCCATTTCAGAAACTTACAAATATTTTCCAGGTTTTTCTCGTGGCCGTTTTAGTAATAACTGTTTTACCGCAAGCCTCTACGATGGACAGGTTCCCAGATACAGTACCTCGCATTCTTATTTGGCCACCCTGTACAACAAAGTATTGGCGATATCCTCAGCTTTCGAAAGGTTTTGCATTTTTCCTCGGTCATGGCATGAACAGGTTCATTCAGCTAGGTGCCATAGACCTTTGGAATCCTCTGTACTCCCTGGATTACACGCACTTTCAGGAGCTGATGTAAGGATCTTTTGCTTGCAAATGGAAGATAAAGTGGTGGAAAGCTTTTAATTCCGCAAGTAATACGCTTCTAGAAGCTTTGGCTTAATTGGGGACAACCCTGTTACTCATCTAACTAAATACCTACGATTCAAAAGTAGAGGAAATCCCCCAATGGAAACGTTGTTTGTGTACGCGAATGTCACAACTTGGCACGGTCGTCATCAGACGTTAATTCTTGTCTACCTGGATTAGTGACCATCGGTATAACTGCTGTGCGAATTAATTTGTGTTTACTTCATAATTTACGTTAGATGAATCACGACTAGGTATACGTACCGATTCTAATGAATATCCATCGACCTACAAACCGTTAAAAACAGCGAATTACGTCATGTTTTAGTTGGTCAAAGGTGTTGGAATCTTCTGTCCTTGATACATTGCAGCACTTTTAACGGTTTTTCAATTTGTTTACATTCAATTACGTCAACGAGAGTGGTTCCTGTTTTAACTGTGAAACGGAAAAATTCCATTTCACTATTTATTTTACGTTACAACGAGATAGATACAATCTTCACCTATTTCGAACAATGCCATTTAGTTACGGTTACCTACTCTCTTTGTCCAGCAGCGCCAAAAACTTGGGTTTGTAGCAGTCGGAGTTCAGTTCGTTGGTTCAACACATTTCGTAAATCATGGTGGTTTTTAGCGCATTTTTGCAAAAAATTTTTTTTGTAAAAAGTAGCTTTTAATCTCACATTGGCTGGCTGGCTGGCTGGCTGGCTGGTCGGCTGGCTGGCTGGCTGGCTGGCTGGCAGTAAATGCGCGCCCGTAGAAAAACGCTTGTAAAAAGACAAGGAGTGTACATGTAACTATCGGGGCCGTGTAATTAAGAACGTTAGGGATGGGGCTACAAGATTTGGAGTCGACGACATCTGGACGCCATCCCCGAGCGTATTAGACTAACCTGGAGATTTTTCAGTTATTATCTATCTTCTTCTACAGTTTTTCTCCGATTGTTTTCAAATTGGTGTCGTCGGGAAGATCTTGTCAACGCGCACAACTCCTGCGTGGCAGAATTTTGTTTTTTTTTCCTAGGGGCGAAATAAACCACCTTTTGCGCGGCGCGCTTCGAGGGGTAGTCGACTTTGGGCGCCCAAAAGTTTCTTACAGCGCGCATCGCGGTCTCTCTTTCTCGTGTCACTAATAGAAGGTCGAGCTATGTGAAGTACCCAAAAGTTGAATACGATTTTATGCCGGGATTTTAGCGAAACCAAAATGTGAATTACGAATGAACGGGACGTCGGAACTGTGTATCGACAAAGGGAATGTGGTAACCCCCGACGAGATCTTACTGATGGTGGAGTCGAAACTTCAAATCCGAATTGTTGCGGGTGATCAGAAGTGGGTGTCGACAAAGGGAATATGGTAACCCCCAAAGGATTTTAATAATGGTGGACTCAAAACTTCAAACGCGAATTGCGAGTGCACGGTAAGTGAGAAAATGGTACCGACAAAGTGAACGTGGTAGCTTTCGGCAAGATCTTATTGATGGTGGAGTCAATATTGGCTAATAAAACACTGATCTGCCACACAAAAATGCGCTGAAGTCCCTTCGATCTCACACGAGGACTTTGATCATTTTTTGTTTTGATAATATGAGGAATTCTAGCAATTCGAACAAACGGAAGAATAAGAAACATTCGAACAATCCGGCAACTGCCAAAGATGAGAAAAATCCTATTGAGTTGAAAAAGTATTCGAGGAGAGCAAAGAATGTGAAGACACTAACGAATAATTCGTGAAGAATCTGAAAAAAAGAATAATTTTGAAAAACTGAATAATTAAAACATTTAAATTCGAACTTCAAGGTACGGGAGAGCCGAAGAACCTGAAGAGAAACATCCAACAAAAGAGAAGAATCGAAAATGAAGTTTCGGAAGAATCGGTATAATAATCTTAATCATCCGAAGAAATAAAAGAATCACGGAAATTCAAACAATACCTATAAGACCTCAACAATCGGAATAATCCAAAAAGATTGACGAACCTGAAATCCAAAAACAACAGAAAAATTGAATTGATCCGAAAAATGACTCCTAGTCAGATATAGGCTACTTATTGCCAAAAATTCCAGGGCTCTAAAACAATTCTCCTAAAAGTAGTTCACATCAGCAGAAGTGGCCGGACGGAGCTTTAGGAATTCTCTTCAGGAATTTGTTACTGGAAAACGCTCAGAGGACCATCGTACTCTCTCGAAATAGTTTTCGGCAAGCACTTAATCGATAGAAACCTCGCAAACCTTCCAAACGTGTTTCGGGGTTTTATATCAGTGGTTTTACAGACATACAAACAGTTTTTACAGCTTTTGATGAGCTTTGACTCGTCTCAAACCTTTCTAGGCTCGCTTGGATTTCAGGGGTACAGCGGGCTACGCTCCCTAAATTTGCATAATAGGCCCACGCCCCTGTCGGACCTTTCTAGATCTTTCTTAGAAGTTTTAAAACATTTCTAGAGATCTGTCAATGCTTTCCACAGCATTACTAGGAGTACCAAGTTAAAGATTTCCAGATCCTTGAAGATATTCTGTATACATTGTTAGAACATTTCTACAATTACAAAAAAATGCGGCCACTTTCTCCGTCCTTTTCCGTCTCCCGCTGTCACTATCAGATTTTGATCTTAAAAGTTATTGCCCCTTTCGTTGAGACCTTTCATTAGAGTACCATGAAGGATAAAACTAGTTCCACTCCCCCCTCCCTTTCCCTCCACCCCGTACTTTGATAAGAGGACAGAAAGAAGAGCAGTAGTTGGTAGAAAACGGTTCCTTTCGTTGAGACCTTTAATTAGAATACAATGAGAGATAACATTAATTTTTAACCCCCCTCCCCCTCAGGCCCCGTCGCTCACTGATCTCGAAAAAGAGTCGCACGGGAAAGTTATAGTTTGTACAAACCAATTTATTTCGATGAGACCTTTCATTAGAATACCATGAAGAGTAGAACATGTGTTTACCCCCCTCCCCTCATTTTCTAAAGTTTAACTTGGCACCACTGCAGGCATGCGTATGCAAAATCTGAGACCTATTGGTTGTCGTATGTAAAAGTTATGCACGTTTTCCTTTCAAAAACAGCACCTCAGGAAATAATTCGTGGGGGGGGGGGGGGGGGGGCCTTTTAGACAGCGAAATTTGATTGCCGTCTGGCACACCTTCAAGGTATAGGCTACCTAGTGCAAAAAATTCCAGGACTGTAGGACCATTCCCCTAGAAGTAGTTCAAAATGGCAGTTTTTCGTCTATCACGAGGCAAAATTTCAAACTGAAAGTATTGTATTCACTATTCGCGATTCAGATTAACACTAGAGGCGCTGATGTAATTAACAAATAGCGTGTATTTAAGTGAAATTGCACTAATTTGAAAATGACTTGACTTTTTCATGCCGGTTTTGAGACTTGAAAATATAACCCCTTAATTAGCTTGAACACGCAATTAACTTAATTTTCTCATTAATTACTAGTAAAGATCACAATTTATCATTTAATTTCTAGCGCACTCGCACAACTGTACAACTACTCGCCGTCATTTCCTTACGTTGATTATGCTTTAAAGCAGTCTTCCTATTCCTGGCATAATTACACTGACCACAATTTAAACAGTAGGTATTTTTCGATGTGTCGTACTTTGATAAATGACGATTTATTTTTTTCTTACTACTTACCTATTTGTTGCATACCTAATCGCAGTGTGCACGTAACATCTTTCAATGTGAATATGCCGCTTTAAGTTTTGCTAATAGCGAGTAGCGCAATTACACTGTTCACAAATTGTTTGAGAAGGTTGTGTGTGTTAATAAGTGTCACTTTAAGTAAACGCTTAATTGTACCGTAGGTATTACACTGATAGCAGTGATAGAAAGTTATCCAAAGCGAAGTGTTTCAAACAATAACGTAGGTGTATATCCCCTATTTTTGTCGTGTAATCGTACCGTTAACAATTAAAGACTTTGGAAAAGCTATTTAGTTTAGAGGATGATTTTTTAACTTATCGTTATTGTTGGTTGCATAATTGCACCGATCACATTTAAAATTCTTGAAAGTAACATCATTGAATTTGTAACATGATAAAGTGGACGTTTTAAACTATCCTTGCTCTTTAAAATTACATTGATTGCATTTACAGCCATAAAAACTACAATATTGATCACTTTTGGCCATTGTAAATAAACAAAATGGCGGTCTTATACCACCAAGAATAATGACCAATGTACTGCCGCCAGAGATCTCACTGTTAATCGGAATCGCAAATCCAACAAGAGTCAAAACAATACAATTAGCCAGTACCGTGCTTTTCGAAGTTGGCATTTTTGACCCCCCTCCCCCTCTCGTTGCGGATGTTTTCGCAACGGCCCTGATATTGTTGCTTTGACTTCACAGAAAATAAACCTCTCAAGCTCCTTAAACTGGTACCGGCACTATACCAATTGACAACACCGCATACGAAAAACAGAACAAGTAAATCCATGTCCACTTCTTAATAAATATCACATCTAGAGGTATACATAATGCATTGACAGTCAGGCGGCGATGAGTGCCCTGTCAGTAGAGAAGTTCCGATCAGCTACGGCGCTTGGTTGCAGGCGAATTTTAGATAGATTAGGTGTGTCTAATAGGGTAAGCTTGCTCTAGGTGCCAGTGCACTGCGGAGTAGGGGGCAACAAAAGGGCGAACGCGCTGGCTCGCGAAGACATTGGTGGGGTCTTTGTCGGTCCCGAGCCTACTCTAAGAATCACTCCTCCGTTGTCAGGCCCTAGATTAAAGACTGGGCGACCAGTCAATTCCAAGCTCAGTGGCATCAAGAAACCGGATCGGACGGTCCAGGGCCTTTTTAACAGAGCCTCTTAGCAAATCTGGGTCACCTAAGCTGCTAAAACTGAGTGGAAGCCAGATTAGGAAAATCACCGGTGTCCTTACGTCCACTGGATGGTGAACATTGGAGTTGTAGAAGAGTCCTCGTACAGGTTCTGTGGCGAGGTAGATGAAACTACCGAGCATGTGGTCTGTCACTCTGACGCTTTGATACCTAAGAACATCGGCGCCTGGCGATAGTTATCTGGAATTGGGGAGGGTGAAGCAACTTAGGCTATCCGATATTGAGAGGCACAGACCATGAACCTAATTGCGAAAGACAGGGGGTAAACCCCAGGCCTTTGGTGTGCCTAAATGCTGCCTAGTCGGGGATGAATAAATACAATAGAATAGAATAGTCTGAGGCTCAAAATTCGTGTAGGTTTGTGCAGAACATTCATTCTCCATCTCATTTTTCCTGAAATCTCAGAAGAAGCATTTTATAACATTTTCAAAATATTCTATTTTCTATTCAGAGCTAAAACCTTTCTCAGAGATATGAAAAGTGCTGGACTGGGGCTAAAAGGCCATTTTTTAGGTAAATTTCTATCTACCTATTGTAATGGTACCAGTAGATATATTTATGAGTAAGTAGGTTTATATACCTATGTATATCACTTCCAAGAAACACACGACTCACTTTCGTAATTATGAACCGTTTTCGACCAAACTTTAAGGGCTGGTGTAACTCATAAATATCTATCTCGGTTAATTTCGTGAATCAACCGATTCCGCCATATTGGAACAAAATGGCGTACTTTGCAGGTAATGCAGAAATCTACCTACACCTGATCGGCCGAACCGAAGGGGATTTTTTATTTAACACAGATCCTTTTATGTCACTGTTGTTCTATGCCTTTCGGCTTGAGTTCCATACCCTTTCTTGCGCTTTAGCGTTGGGTGAAAAATTAATTAATAATTATTATTCGTTATTCAATGGTTTTGGGCACTGTTAGAGCTTTCTTGGGGCTAAATTAAGTGACTCTACCACACTTTAGCGTGAGTATTCAGATTATTAGTATATGTATTATAATTACGGGATCGAATTTGTACACCACTGCATGTACCTACTTACTACATTGCAGTTAATTGAGTTTATTATACGAATTTTTTGGAATTCTTGGCATTTTTGTGAATTTTCCGAATATCCTTGAATTATGTTATGACATTTTTTAATTTCTTCGCATTTTAATTCATACGCTACAATAAATCCTATATTTCAAGGAATTTGGAAGCAGTCAGTTAATAAAATCGTATAAATCGAGTGTATCGTGTATAAATCGTATTTTTAACCAGTCAAAGCATGTGGCCAGAATGGTCAGTTATGATAAAGGTAGATGAAAAGGTACGTTGGGGTCGTCTTACTCAATAAGGAAAAACGCTGTTTGAAATTTCATTATTTTTTTATTATTACTCTATTGTGCCTAGTACAATCAACAGCGTGTTACACCCAATAAACTAAAGCCTAAACGAAAACTATTTATTTACAAACACAATCTATACCCCGTAACAGTTGGCATACGTAACCTTTATTATAAAATCAAATGCCTACAGCTTTTAATACAACTATGTTTTGTGATTCTTTAACATTATAATTATCCTGCGGGAAAATTGTAATATTTCGTAATTCGGAGGTGTTCGAGCGAGGAACGCCTTTGTAAATAATGTACTGACTAACGCTCGGAGTGTAAAAGGCAAATACAAGTTGAATTTACAAGAAAAGAAAACGTGGAACTCGAAATTTGGTCACTCATTATCATGAATAATACGCACTAGGTAACATCAAGTCGTTGACCCTGGTAGATTCTACCGTGCCAATAATAGGACATCAGGTTGACGAAACACGAAAACAAAATTAAGTCTTTACAGAAATGGCAATGAATAAACGTCATTCGAAACACTTTAAATTCCACGGAAAGCCATTTCGTATTAAATTAAATGCAAATTTCGGAATAACTACCTACTTGTACGTTTCGCGAAGAAATCCATATTAGTCAAAGTATGATACGGTTATTGTTTATCATCATTTTATTAATTAATTTACCTATGCCCAAACTGGATTGTCGTGATTGATGAGTTGAGTTCCCAATAGAAACTTTTGAGTTCCCAATAGGAACTTAGGTAGTTTCTTGTTGTAGACTCATGTCGTGTTTAATTTGATGGCACGAATGACACATGGAAACTATGTCGGTAATTTAATCACCGTGCAAAAGTCGTGATTTTAATTAACTCCTTTGTTTATATTGTGTAGCTACGCTATTTGAACAGAAAGATGTTATAATAAATTAAAGAAACGAGGTAATGATTTTGATATAGTTTTGTGAACAAAATTAGTGCACGAATAATGTTTATAATCCTCTCTTTTAAATGAGTTAAGGTCAAAGAGGTATGTCCATTAAAAACATGTTTAACCTTCACCTAGGCCGAAGACTCGGGCCCAATGGGTTCAATGCGATTAAGCTCAAAATGGAAAATGCTTACCTTCAGTTGCTTACTAACAAGATTTTAGGTAAAAAGTTGAGCGACGTTGATTGGTATGATTAAATTGAATTTAGCGTGTTTTAATTGTTTTCAGCTATTGTTTTCGTAGTGTTTTATTTAGCGACCTTCAATTGCTTTTTGGACACAGCCTACATCAGCGTCTACCAAAATCGGAAGATGATGATACTCGTAGGTCAAGGCTCGCATAAACAATTCTCTTGTGTTAATAGTGAGAGCTGCACAAGCAAAGTAATATCAAGCCTAACTGCCTAACAAATAGACTTGCATTTCCCATGTCAATAAAATTGCAGATCTATTTTGGGTTTGTCATCAAGATCACGACCGTGCGAGTTAACCGGGAAAATTTGAGGACACGACCTTGGAACATAGCTCAAGGTCATGACCTCGGTCCAGAATCCATTGCAGTGACTTTGGTCCAAAAGCCAAGGCCGCCATATTGAGAAAATCCAGGCCGCGACCTTGGCCCAAGATTATGACCTTGTGATATGACAAAATCCAAGATGGCGACTAGTACTTGATAGTATTATGCTTTTGTTCTGAAATGTTATGACAAAGAGTTATACAATATGGAAGATGGAAGTAATACCACAAAATAAATAGTAGTAAGGTACCTATTCTATGGTAATACATCAATGATTTTGAATCTCTTCGCAGTTTGAAGATTTTGTGATTCCCACTCATGTAACTATAATGCTAACTATGCTTTTCGAAAGATCTTATTGATATTATACAGGAACGATAATAGTGCAAGTGCAATCTGTGTACTGCCTTTTATGCCAGAAATCAATTACAATTTTTAGAAGAAATCCCAAATTCATTTTAGGAATGACAGAAGTGACAACCTACTAAAATTTGATGCCAATTAGGCAAGTGGCTTTTCTTTGTGAGGTTTGAAAGTTAACTGTAGAGCGGCAAAAGCGGACTGTTTTTTAACAAGTACCCGCGCTAAAACCTTAAGAAACGACAAGTGTTTACCAGAATATTTACACCACCTAGGTGATATTTTTTCTCATACCAATAGTTTGAATTGAATTTTACAGAGAACAACCCTATATATGCAGAATTTAATTTTCGGTCACACTCCCCAAAATTGTACGCTGTAACGAGGTGACATTTGCTCGGAAAAACTGAAAATTACGACCTGTATCGTGGTGACAAAAAAGCGTACACATATTTTTCAAAATCTCATTTTCGTGGTGTAGGGTCTTGTGAAGCTTCTATGGTGAAAAAGTACTCTCCTCCGATAAACCGTTTTCGAGATATTCGCTCTTGAAGTGTTTACACCACAAATGGATTTATCTCTGCCATACGTCTTAATCACTTATTGGTAGTGCCCGCCTCCAACAGTCCGCTCTTGAAATAAAAGGAATTATAACTGTAAGTTATGGTTTAGGT